TAGTTCAATCCAAAACAGAGTATTTTTTGTTTACCGGAGTATAGTGCAGTACATTGGAATTGTAGTTCAATCCAAAACAGAGACAGAGTATTTTTTGTTTACCGGAGTATAGTACATTGGAGTAAGTGACAGCCCAAATCGAAAAGGTAAGTAAAGGTATCCTCCAGGCGAGCCGTAAATCGAAACTCGCTATCTCATTTTTAAGGTATAAAGGTATCCTCCAGACGAGCCTTAAGTCGAAACTCGCGAGAACTTCGATGCACAGAGGCCACAGACGACGTTGCACTGGTAGTCCACTTGTGCTGGAAGGATCGGCGCGAGACCGCTATCGTCCCCCAATCCTGCTGGGGGGGCCGTCGTAGACAGCACGGGCTGAACGAAGAATGTGGTTGGCTATGAATTGTCTGTAACCTTGAGGAAAGTGCCAGAGCTTCGAGGAATGACATGGCATGAAAAATTGGGGATATAAGAAGAACCTGCTGGTGGAGCCGTTGTGGATGAAACGGGCTGAACATGAATTGCTTTAGTACTCCCTTAGTCGTCTCCGAGTTACGTCGGGGTTGAAATTAATACGAAATGCTGAAAAATTGGAGGTGAGACAAAACTCGAGATGGATGACGATAGGATCTGTCTTGGCATATTGACTAAAGTCTGTAAATACGTCAAATTCAAACTCCTGAATCTGGACTTCCACGGTTTTTGCGTTCAGCTCTTCACACGTGTCGAGAAATGCCGTGAGGCATTCCGGATTCTCGTCTTCTTACTTTAGAGCGTGAAGCAAGGGCACTAACTCTGTAGATTGGGTTAAGTAGATAAAACCTGGAAACTTGAATATTCGAGAATCGGTAAGAGTAAGGAATAAATGAGAAATATGCATTGGCTTAGTAGACGTAGCACAACCAACACACATTGTTGGTAGTACCCTTGCTTGGTTGTTAGTACCTTAACCTAATCTACAGAGTTGGGCGTGAAGCAAGGGCACTAACTCTGTAGATTAGGTTAAGGTAGGTTGGGTTAGGGATCCTGCACATCAATGCACTTCTAACGAGTACCTACTAAGTCCTCTTGAAGGGATCTAGAATGCGACTATGAAGTACCATAACAGGAATAAGACGAGCGAAGCAGATCTACTAGAATTAACTATTTAATAATAAAACCTTTGTTCCCACATCATTCACTTACAACAATCCGCAAAACTTCCACAATCCATTCTTAGCTTCGCACAATCCACCACACACTGATGTCGATCGCACTCGTCTGCAAAAGGCTGTTTGCAGTCGTCGATGCACTTCTCCAAAGCGTTGACATCACATTGCTGTCGGAATTCACGGACGCAACGTCGAAGCGAGTATTAGAACTATAGGGTATAATCTTGTCGGCCTTAGAATCTTAGAAACATCCTATCTATCATCTACAAATTAGAACTTATGATGTTCAGTTCTGGTCTTAATAGAAACACTTGCAGAAACTACTAAGGTGTAGTGGTCTTATGCCCTGTTAGGATAGGATATGAGTTACTTCACCTTCCACAGGGTAAGCCTCCACCACCGTTCTATCGACAGTGAGGAGGACTTCCTATCATTGATGAATGGCGGTGGGACCTACGAGGAAAACAAAAGACTTGAAATGAGCGAGTATTACGGCAGTGTAGAGCTCACGTAGAACGGTAACGTACGTAGTGCCTTAGGACCATCGTACACGAAGATTACAATTGTCACATCACCTGGCATAACACAAGTCGGGTTCGTATCCATCCGGGCATCGTTGGCAGTCACGTGGAAAAACCTAGGTTTACAAAATCGAAACAACTTCGGTGGAGGACCAATCTAGTCTCGTGTATCATTGAATGAAGGGGAGATTAATACTGTAAGCGACCCAAACGAAAGTAGTCTGAATACTGCGCAAAAGAGAATTAAAAAAAAATCTGATCCATCTCAAGGGACTTTTCTACGAGGATGTATTCAACTACTAAGAATCATTATTACAGCCTCTGGATCTGATATTCGCGGCACGCGATACTGTACCCCACCTGGCCCACGCCTCACTTCTTCCTCGCAAGGCTGGAAGAAATCACACCTGAGATCACAAGGAAAAAACTTACACAGCCTTCCTCGCAAGGCTGGAAGAAGTCACACTTTCCTGATGGAATGTTGTAAAAGGAACTATCATTTCATGATCGGGTTTTATCATAAAAATATATATAAGGGTCCACCGGATTAAGGGTACCTACGAAGTAGAGCTAGACAGTGGAAAATATCCATTTAGATTGAACCTTAAGAACAAGTCTTCTGTTTCTAGTATGTCTGAAGGTACAGCTTCAATAGAAAATGTCTTTTTGGACTGAAGCCTTCTACTTCTATTGTGTCTGTCTGAAGTAAAAATCGAAGTAGAAAATATGATACCCGCTGCAGTAATCGCCACGACGGCAAGGCAGGCACTCCATGACACCACGATAGCTAAGTCGCAACTCATCCTTGAAGCTTTCTCGAACGCAAGTACTACACGCGCATGAATAGCAGCACTTCCACCACCTGGAAAAGGTAAAGGTAGTACAGTTCTAATTTACAGGTGGATCCTATTTACTACTAAATCTTACCCTGCAAGTTGCTGACATCATGAAACGGGACCGTATTATACTAAAAAATCTTACCCTTGCGGACAAACCGGCTCGTAGCACAGTGTGCTGCTGCATTCCTCTTTGAGGTTCCCTGTTTCACAGCGACAGGTATACCCAGTCGGACATTTGTCGACGCTACATGTACAGTCATCTTCCTCGAGCGCTTCTATCTGCGCCTGCACCGACTGGAATTGGGCTACCGCATCTTGAACGAATAGTACTTTGGGTTAGAGAGGATGGAGTTAGAAGGCTAGCGAGCAATCTGGTGGAAGGAGAGCTTTGGGGTACAGATGATGGAGGGCGAGCGAACCTTTTACGAAACAGGTTTTGAGGAGTGCTTTGGGAGGTTAGAGATGATGTAGGGCACAATCTGGTAGGACGAGTGCTTTTGGAGGTTAGAGATGAAGTACTGGTGTAGATTGGTCCATCATGATGACTGGGGAGTCCGTGGATTGGTCCATCATGATACAACATTTACCAGTAGCAAGTAAGTACAATGCTGATGGAGCATTATTGAGCTAAAAGACGCTTATCTTGCTTCATAAACATAAAGCCAAATGAGCAACAAAGCCCTTCTTCCTCCACTGCTTTTGCTCGAGAGGCCCAGTTGTTGACGTGATGATCTTGTTTTGGTACCACTACTAGTAATAGGCTCAGCTATTCTATTTCTAGGCTCGTTTACTGTTCTTTCATCTTGCTTCTGGACCATGCTGGAGCATCTTCTCCGTCCACTACTAGTAGATCCACTAGCGCGAGAGCCTTGTCTTCCCCGCCCTCTTGAAGACGAGCAGGAAGTTCCTCTTCCGACGATCATAGAGGTTGGAGGACGTTCAAAATCTTCCATCTCTGCAGACGTTGTACTTGTAGCTTTTGTCAGTCTGTAGTTGTCTGCTCTGTGAAACGCCGATATGGGTTCTTCAAGTAGACGTTTTGTTTCGTCATGTTTGAGATTTTCACTGTAAGATGAATGTCGGTCTGAAGTTTTCGCCTGACCAGTACCACTGTAAGATGAATGTGGGTCGGAAGTAGTGGTGCGATTGCGATCAGACCACGACACTTGCGAGTCACACCCATGTGAGTCAGTCAGCTGATGAGGCATATCATCTCCTCGTCTGGGTCTACTCGTGCCGCTCTGCATCTGGGATGTAAAGAAGACGGCAGATACCATGTTGCAGACTTCATTATCCGTTGAACCACGGGCCCTGCTGCTGCCGCTACTGCTAGTGCTGCTGGATGAGGACGATGATGCTTTTGCTGTGCCTAGATTAAAATGATTAGAGTGTGGTACTTTTCGTTGATTTGCCATCTAGTAGTGGTTAATTCCATGTAAAAGTAGAGACCATCAAATCGATACCGCTTATTAATCATTTGGACGTGTGTAGTGTCGCCTCTTGTCCATAAGATCTCCTGAATGTCGTGGTGTCCGTGTCTCTTCGTCTGCCATGCCAGTTGCCATATCAGCACCAGAGGCGGTTGGCCGGAAATGCAGCGTCTTATGCCTCTCATTCGAAAATTGCAACATCGTTTTCTTTAGGTATACTTCATAATTTGTCAACAAGATTTATACATACAAAAATGCTCAACAGGTGAATGCAATGATCTCTGAATTCAGACACGCCTCTTTAAGCGGAATCGTGGTCTTTTAGTGTGAATTCGTGTTTTTTTTCCAACCAGGTTTGAAAGCTTTGTCAAAGCTCTCACCTGAAATTGAATTTATTAAAAAGGCGATAAAAACACAATTTTTTGGATTCAGATGAAATTTCAAATTCATCTCTGGAAATTGCAAATTTTTTACGAATCTGACTAGTTCTAGTACAACCTAATTTTTTCTAGGATTAGGAGTTTCGACATTTTTTGACGTGTTACTTAATTCCAAATATAGTCTAAATTTCCACACTAACTGAATTGCAGCTGTCAGGGACTTCTCTTTTTACCTCTCTTGTTGTCCTGCTCAGATACTCACTGTCACTGCTCTGCCATGTTCATTTTTCTGTACTTAGTTTTGTGGAATCATCTTGGAGAATCGAGCGATCTCTGCAACCATTTCATGCTCATCACACCTTAAGAAATTGTACCAAAGTGCCTGTTGGTCGGTGTGCTTCCACTTGCGCTCCTATGCCGTAACTCAAGCCACATATCATCTGTGCATCCCCTTAAACGAGGAACATTGCCCTTACATCACCTTCGTTCTCCTTTCCCAACAAGATGTTCAATCGTATCATTCAATCGATCCATTGGGCACCTTCTATAAACAAACAGGTCAAGAGTCGCAGAGGTGATCGCTTACCTAACGAATTATGTTTGCACTTGCTACTTACTGACTCAATCATTCTGCAAAACCTTCTGCCCACTTAATACTGCAAAACATACCTGATACTTGTTATGCGTGACGACTGGTATTTACCCACGAATATGGTGAGAAGGTGAAGAGCATAGACCTCCTGGTGGTTTTGTTTAACTAGGTTGAGGATAACTAAGAATCACATGTTGTCCACATCTATACAACAGCACAGAATGTATTTTCCTACATTTTCAACTTCTTGGACATCAAGATTATTGTGAAAAAAAAGACTTATTCTACTTCAAGCGTACTCAAACAGACAAAAATAATATGCTCCTGGGACAGAAATGTGTTCAATTCTAGGAATCATTATACACAGGAAATAGTACTCGTGCTTGACTAATCGTAATCTCTTAAGTACTTAATGGAACATGAGCTTCATTCCAAAAATTGTTGATGTACTGAGATGACCCTGGCCTTGGCCTAATATCGTCCAAAACCTCTACTAGATCATAAATCGTTTAAGTACTACAACCGAGAAAACTATCGATTTACTACGACGTCTAAGGCTACCTATCATGGAACCCTTTCTTCATGATGAAGCCATAATAGAACCAGCCGTTCTTCATGATCAGGCTCTGGCAAAACTAAACATCATGAAATTCGCAAGGACCGAAACAACCACCGCGACCCGACTGAATGCTCCGTACATTCTAAGAGCTGAGTTGCAGTCTGCGTTACAGCGTTCTCGCAATGGTATTGGTTCAATCCATGCGACTCCAGTATCCTGTATCTGCAGGTCTAGACCCGTCAGAACTTCCGACTGCGCCGCAATTGGGACCTGGTGTGAAAAAAGAATTCAATTTATTTATATCATCCACAAGTTACGTCGAGTAGTGAAGAAAAAATTTCTATGCCATGTTTAATCTAAACGCGCCCCTACATCAGTACAAATGCTTGCGTAAATCTTCCTCGCTGATCCTCCCAACAAAGTATCTTTCTAATTTCTAACTACCCAAAAACTCCTTCACAAGTACTACGTACCGAAACTAACATATCAAAATACCCCATCTTCCCCTATCTGTCTTTCACATTTCCTCACAGTCAACATTTGAAGACCGTGTTGATGATGACATTTAAAGACGACCGTGTCAAAGAATATATCAAAATACCCCATCTTCCCCTATCTGTCTTGTTGTCATTTCTCTACACATTTCTTGGAACGTGTTGAGACATTCTGGGCTTTGCTCCTTAGCACAACGCATTCGACAATTCAGCCTCTCGCATTCGTAATCCAGTGTCTCCTCGACGTCGGCGAATGAAGGAGAGATGGGGCAGAGATAATAGTTGGGAGAGAGAATAGTTGGGAGAGAGAATAGTTGGGAGAGAGAATAGTTGGGGGAGAGAACAGTTGAGAGAGAGAACAGTTGGGAGAGAGAAGGGGGAGGGAGAGACCTATGATGTCATCTAGCTCTTTCATGGTGATGATGTTAGTCGGTTCAGATTGGACCCACGGCTTCGCTGAATCTCTAGTTCTTTATCAAACAAATCCCATCAACATAATCGACACTCCCAATCGATGCAGTTTTCTAATTTTTCTTCGTCACATGCATGTCGCCATGGTGAGGGAAGACAGCGATCATTAGCATAATCCGCCTCTCCCGACGTAGGACACGTCTGACACTCCCTTTCAAACCCGGCTCCGATAGCAGATATTTTCGGACTCGCGACTGTCTTTCGCGTAAATTAGAAACTTCTTGCCTTGAAAGAAACTTCTTGTGAGACAGTTGTAGAGAACTGTGTCTTGTGTTGAAAGAAACTTCTTGCCTTGAAAGAACCTTCTTGTGAGACAGTTGTAGAGAACTATGTATTGAGTCAAAGACGAGGTAGGCTCAAGGAGAGACGTGATTCCCACAACTAACATCTCGTCGTTCTTAAGTGGACGTACATTCATTAAATCGAGCTACTGAAAAAACACTTAATAAAAGAAGTATATTCAAGGACTAGATTCGCGAATCTTAAATTTCGTAGTGGAAACGCGCTTCCATCGGACATCTCTCGAATGCATCGCATCCAGGACAGAAGTCGCCTCGTCGACATGGTAAACATTCGTAGATGCCACGAAAAGAGAGAGTCAACTCTTCCGAGAAACCTGTTATTGAATTCAGCAAAAGAGAGCATCAACTCTTACGAGAGACCTCGTAGTCATATCCAGACAACCTCGTATCTGTTTGAGCAGCCATAAGATGTAAAGCAGATTGATAAGCCATGAAGGGAGAACTAGGTAATCTCCAAACTTCTTTCGTGGGTAAGACTCGTACAAGTACCTTCCTTCCAACAGGACGACCACTCGCACGAGAAGCAGCATTTGAAGGTGCCTCTAGGACACACAGGCTTGAAACAGACACCAGCGTCATCGAAACAATCGCAGTCCTCCGGAACTAGTAGGGAAAGCAGCTCACTCGATAGAGACCTGTCAGTTCCGCCAGCAAAGAAACTTAGAAGATATCAAAACATCATTGATGGATCTATTACTATTCGAGACCAGAAATACAAAAGCAGTGAAGATTATAGGATTAGGAAAGAGGAACAGTTGTAAGCTAGTACAGCAAAAGTCCCGTGAATTATTCAGACAGATCATACTCGTACTAGAGTAACGTGAGAATATACTTCAGCTAAGAAAGAGACAGTCTCAGAAAGGTCGCCATAAGACATTACTGGATGTAGAACCGTTATCACGAACATTCGCCAAAGCCATCGAACTGGACCCCTTCCAGGAAGTTGTGCCCCTTCTGCTATCTTTTAGGGGGCTCAATTTAGACGCAAAGGATGGAAGACTGCCTTACATCACTATCATGCATATACTTCTAGCTTTGTTTAGCTGCTGTGGTCTACGTCTTCAAAGCTGTAGGTTATAAGTATTTGAAAGTGTTATTCTTATTTTCTCAGAACGTATACGAGACATAATAGGAGGCCTCCCTTTCCGGAACAACGCACGCGCTCCACGTCCCCCTGCTGCTGGAGGAGCTCGTAGTACACCGCTTCCAGCATAGCTGCAGGACACGCAGAGGCTAGCTACAAGAAGACTCTTGAAGAAGAGTTGTTTCGCGGGGCCGCCCACTTCGCAGCAAGAATATCGAACATGTCGTGGCATTGTTGCACATGCTTCACCGGTCGTCCACCGGAGCGTTGCGCATGCTTCACCGGCCGTCTTACGTCTCGCTTTTTTTTCAAAGTCTTCGGCCAGAGGAAAGAGAAAAGAGAAAGACGGACATCGTCAAACTGTTATCATCTAATCCCTCATTTTTTAGTAGCCTGGATCCTAGCTCACTCTGGACTTGTGATCGTTCAGCAATATCAGAATTTGCTGCATCAAGCCTCGTCTGACATTGAATGCTGCTACTTTCTGAGTAGACTGTCACTACTTCCAACAGTGTTTCCTCCGTCTAACGTACCTGTTGTAAAGGCCCTCTTACTCTTGTAAATTTCATGCAGCCATGAACATGATCATTTCTTGCTCACTACTAGCATTGATTTATTGACATACCGCACATTTGTCGCGCTGAGTGCCAAAATGTTGAACCTTTGAATTCTTTCGAAACAAAATGACAAGTTCAAACTTCAATGACTTCCTCGTGGGGTTTCTCTATACTTTTAGCTACGGTTTATATCTAGTAAAGAAAGACGAAACGGCGGGTTCCTCTTCAACAAAAAAAACCATGTAGCTATGGCCAAACGTGCGTTGGTTTTCTGATCTATAGTAATGCGATTGTTCTTCTATTCTTCAACAGATTGAACCGAATAATAGTGGCGGACCCAACCTAACTAGAAAAATACCCAAAAAAAAACAAAGCGTGAAGGTGCAAATTTCGGCCATGTTTATAGGATCCGGGGCTATTCTAGGCCTATTGTTATGGATGATGATGTTAGTCGATTCGGATTGGACCTGCGATTCTTATTGTTCTATCGGCGTTCTCTTGAATGAGCTCTACGGTTGTCGAAAGAAGTCCTGTTTCTGAAACATTGAAAGAAGAAGAATTATTTGTCACTTGCTGTCAATTAAGATGAAACCTAAGAAGAAATAAATAATGCGGTTCTTGCATCGAATAATCTCCGATGGAGGTACTTCAAACTTTCGGTTCTTCTAAATTTAAGGCTTGGTTGTGTCTATTAAATCGTAACCTCCTCATATACAACAACCCCGTTTCTTCGGCAGCGTTTCTTCGAAACAAAAACTACATATTTGAAGGTTATAGATCTCTACTAGTGTACTGAAGATATTCGGAATAGTCTGCAAACTCAAAGAATCATAGGACACGTTAGCAAATGAAATCGCTTTCTGCTCTCAGAAGCATCGGATATTTCTTCTCGTAGCCTTGTTTCTTAGCTCCAACCGACCACGTTACCCATCGTCGCTAGGCTAAGCGCCAGAAGCAACAACCACACGGAAACTTAGAAGAGGGACTGATGCATGGATGGATGGATGGATGGATTGATGCATCTTTTATTTCTCTTGAAGAAGGTTGTAGAAGGATCTTTTATAAGAAAGTACATTGTATACTTGGTTTTTCATAATTCAACTTGACTGACGTTGCTGAGTTGCAGTTGATGTTGCAAGCCACTTCTTGTCGGAAGGGAGCGACAGTCGCGATACCGCTATCATCCGTCAAAATCACTGTGGGAGCCTCAGTCGTCGTCGCGATACCGGGAAGCGTACTCAAGTTGGGATCGACGAGTGGCAACAAGTATGAAAGGTGGATGGTCTAGAGGTGGTTGATTTTCAATAATGCGGTACACCGAGGACTCTTCAAAGTCAGCATGTCTATGGAGTAACGTTGTATGGAGGCCTTCAATCAAGTGTCGTGAGAGAGTGGTGGATGTTCAATAAATATTATCGCTCACTCCTAAGGCAGCGTAGGAGTGGTAATGGGTATGAAGAAAGGTGGATGGTCTAGAGATGATGGATGTAGAGGCGATGGATGCAGAGGTGGTGGATTTTCAATAAATTCTATCATTCCCCACGACTTCGAAAAAACAAATGTGATATCTGCAAGGGTAGGGATTTAACGTGTTGAGTTTCTCTCATAAATTGAATTCATTGCACATTTCCTTGTGAGCATCGAGGCACTCTGGGTTGCTATCACGCTGGTCGTTCGCACAGAAAATACGACCTGAGGTTGTTTAGGAGAATTTTAGGTGCTTGAGTCTTTTTGTAGTTTGTTTTATCATCATGATCCCGAACGAAGGGCTTCAACAAGTAGCATAGAGGACACTTAATCATATCTAAGCAAGTACATTCCATCCTCTGGCACTCATCCTCCAACGGATTTTCTTTGCATCCGCTAATACAGATCTCCAGAAGCGTAATATCGCATGATTGACGGAACCTAGTTTCAAAAGAAATAATAATAATTTTTGCTTTGCTCATCTATATCGTAAATGTTGATGCAATAGAAGATACTCTAAAACCGAATTAATAACATGTTCTTGACTTCTACTAGACCCATCTCGTTCGACGCCACACAAGACGCTATAATCGAGAAGTCGGAACGAAGTAAGTAATGTGCAGCTAACTTCTATCAGTAAGTACGGTGGCACGCATTTCTCTTTGACAAAGTCAGCCTCAAACCCATCCGGGCATCGCTGGCATTCTCGATCTAGGACAGAGCCTGGAGGCGAGACCCTTGGCGTGTCATATTGTGCACCAGCTGAGTCCTTCGCGTCCACCGAAGGGCATTGGTCGTATTCGTCGCACCTAGAAGATGACTCATATCTCTAATTCGGCAGCTTGCCTAGTAGTACTCATATTTATAGTTAGTTGTGAAAGACTTATCATTTACAAATCATGTTTAGTACTCATATAGTTGTGAAAGAATCACTTACAAAACAAATCACGTATTATACCCTGAGCAGTAATCGCCAGGGTGACACTGAAGACACTCCTGTACGCCACGTTCGGACAGGTATAGAGCTCCAGTTGGATAAAAGCCTAACTCGTGCCGGTCGCATATAGACACCGTGCAGTCGAAACAACACTTGTACATCCTGATGTGTTAGGTTAATGGACACAAACGGCATTTGTATTTGTATATCCTGTTCTTGTGACAAGAAGTGGTTGTGGGAAGATTTAGACGTCGAGTTTTAAGGACTGTCCTGCTCCTGTGGTACGGAAAATTCGATAAGTAGTTGGGACTGCTTTTTATGCATGCATCTGCGAACCTGGAAAAAAAACAAGAAAACAAATTCATCATCATTCATAGCGCCGTCCCTAGTGCCCATAGTTTTTTTTTTTCTAAGTTCTGATAGTGGACATGACCGAAGTACTTTGCTGTGGGAGGTGAGATACAGTATCGGACGCGAGAAAGGAGCCTGGGGCCCCTTTCTCGGTAGTTATCTCTCCCACGGCGACGAGAACTCAAACGAGAACAGAGCAAAGATACTCCACAGAACGAGAGATATACAAATACATGATGTACGCCATATTCAAAGCATAGCTCTACCTACCCATGAGTTCTGATAGTGGACATGACCGAAGTACTTAGCATTACCCTTTCGGGCAAACAGGTTGGAAACAGGTTCCATCTTCTGCCACGCAGGGACAGTCAAGATCTTCGAGAATCACTCCAGCGAGTCCCGACTGCGCTGCCAACTGTGCCGATGCGAATTCGTGATAGCCTGACAAGGAACTGAACAAGAGTTAGAGCTTTTTACCTAAGTTAGTTTAAAGTAAATAAAAGTCATCTTTGACGTTGTTCCTCCACCTTCCAGCAACGGTAGAAGATGCTTCAGTTTATAAGATGAATTAGGGGTGGAAGACTTAAAAAAGAGCTAGCACTTTTCGGAGCCTTCTGGGTGATGTGAATTTGATCCTCCTGTTTCTCGGATGCAGGCGATGAATTGATTTCTTCTCTGCAAAGAACCGGGCTTCTATGCGTTTCCGCACTACTTGAGCTGTTGTGGTGAGCCTCCGGCGTTGCTCTTCATAGGTAAAGAAGCCGAGAGGAGGGGACGTTGAAAGGAAAGAAGGCACTCCAGCAACATTATCTTCTTCTACACGTGTAAAAATATCCGGCGGAGTCGCATCTTCAGTTGTCTTCGAAGATGTCTTCACCACTGCTTCATCGTGTTCGACATTCATATTACGCTGCCTGCACTCGTCGTCCCTATCGACTACTGTAGGCCTTCTCCCATCCCGCAAAACTCGTGGATACTTCTTATGCCTCCGTCTCCGTGCCCGTCGGAAAAAGGTGTTACGAGTACTTCCACGTTGTCCCTGAGAAGAAGATGCATCCACGATTGCGCAGAGTTGCACAGTAAAATTCATCTTGGATGTGCCACTTAGACAGGCATTTCTAGTCGATGTACGAAGAAACTTCGAAGCCCCTCGTCTACTTGTACTCTTTGCTCTAGGAACGACTCCGCTCCAAGAACTGCTACTCGTAGACGGACAGCGTGTGGTGTCATCCACCATGTTGGCGGCTGACAAACAGCGACGATTCGCTCCTTGTTGCGCGGCCGTCATATTTGATTCTAATCTTTGCACGTATATTAATAAATAAGTGATTCCATAGTACCTAGTACATCTCATCAGCGCTGATATGCATCCAAATTGCGACATGTCCTCCTGGTGTATAGAATCATGACTGCAGGTCGTGCAGGCCAGGTGTAACTACTTATTATTTCTATCTTCATTTATCCACGCGCATGCCTCGCTTTATTCAACCTCATTTTTCGACTCACTCTGCAGATTTAGTTTTGCTCACTGCAATGGCCATTTTTGTCTCTCCTCATGCCCAGTTTTTTCTCCCAAACTCTCCCTCCAGCAACTTCAAAACTACTCGCGAACACAAGACATACAAGAGGATGTCAATACCAGTGACTCGGAATTTGCGTAGATACTGAAGAGATACTGAGAAAGAGAAGAAGAAGAAACAACCTGTTTACAGTACACTTTTGAAAAACAAGATGAAACTAATCTAGAATTTGAGGGGATCGATTTGAAAAGATGGCCTACAGACATCGACACATATCCGGAAAACACAAAAGCGAACAAAAATGTAAACAACAATCATCGAGATGTAGTTAGAGGTAGCAAAAAAAATGCGAAGTTGAATTAGTACGGTGCACTACTATTTTTATGGGGGCTGAGGGATACTCGTCTTATTAAGTATGAGGTTGTAGATATGAAGATGCACAATTTTCTACACTTGTTCTCGCATTTCTCTGGCTGCTCGTTGAGCGCCAGGCGCCACCAAATGGTCCACCACATTGTATGTGATAGCATCTTGTCCTTTTCCGCGACCTGCTTCTTCTACGTCCACTGCTTTTCTCCCGCTGTGACTCTGAGCTGGTGCGGGCTGCTCTGGTCCTCGAAGGAGACTTGCACGTATGCTGCTCAACGGTCTATTGTCATTCCTTGCCTGAGGACAGCAGAGGCGTCCAAAACGGTCTGCCGCTTCTAGCATCGCATCACCAGTGCCGGCTGGTACACAGAGTAGGTCCACAGGAGCTTCTGGAGGGACCAGAGCAGGCATTCGCGTGGAAAAGAGAAGCGACAGAGGGTTCGAAAATCTACTTTAGAGCTTCCCCAAACTTTTTTTACGATATTCATCGTTGAAACGCTTTCCGCTTTCGAAAGATTCAAATTTTGAAATGCTTTTCAGGATCAATTTTTAGGGCAAGCCTTAACTACTACTGCTGCTTCCACCACTGCTAAGATTGTCCTCAGGAGGAACAACTCGTTCAGGTCGTAAAAACTCCCTTGTCGTGAGGCCTCGGAACACCAGAAAAAGGTGGCATAGACAAAAACCAATGACTACGAGCACCAGTAGTGCTGTGGGAATGCCAACAACTAGCAGAAACTTAGAGGAGAGAGATTTTCATGTGGATCATCATCATGCTCATGCATCTCTGGTGGTCACTCTCTACCACTGGCGAGAGAAGATCGTTTCTGGGTTCTTTTGTATCTACATGATTTTATCTACAGGATTTCTTTTGTAAGTACTATGAAGCTGGTCGTACGATAACAAATTCACTACGGTACGGTCCATAATGAGCACTATCAGCGTTCCGGGAGAGAAATGATGATGTCTGTCCTGTCCGAAGGAGTCCTGCAGCCACGCAAATATTCCCAACACTACCTGAAAAAATATTATGTAGTTGCCGAACTTATATATAAAAGAAAAAGTAAAAGACCTTCATCATCATCATCATGTCCCATGTAGTACTTGAAGCCGAAAGAACAGACCTCTAGTACAATCCAAGTATGAAGAATGCAAACAGGTGTGAAGTACGCATGAACCCAATGCCGCCAAGCTCGCCAGGAAGAACCAGAACAGCGTATAGTTTCGTTGTCCGATGCACGTGCCGAGGAAAGGGCAGTGATGGTCGAATCTAATCACACACTGTCCGCAATCCGCACAATGCCCACTTCGAGGTGGCCGTATGATCTCACAGGTTCGACATATTCGATAGCCCGCTCGCATCTGATTCAACGTGAGCTCCAACGGCCGAGAGGCCACCGGGTTAGAGGTAGTAAAGGTAGTAACGGTGGTAGAGGGAGCAATGATATTCACTGTTTACGAAGATCATTCTCGTCAGCAACCTGATCCTAGGAGGACAGCTGAAAGAATCAATGCCAATGGAAAGGGAATTATTCATCTAACAGGGTCCATAACAGGGACGGCTGAAATCGATGGCCCTCCAGCTCTGATTGGGCTCTGTTGAGATAGGTGTTCCGGTGTCGATGCTCTTGTCGACGTGGATGCCCCGTTTGGCGACTCAGGACTCAATGGATGTTGTGTTTTATGATTGTGGCTTGCTGAAGACGACGACGACGATGACCCTGTCATGACAATTCGCTGTCCACTGCGTGGCTCGTAACGTTGAACGACAGCATTACCACCTGTCGTATCGCCTGCCGCGACCTGGTCTGGTAAAAGCACTGCACTTGCTGGCGTTGAAGTTAGAGGGTTGCTGGTGCTAGCACGTTAATTCTGCGCTCTTCTACGAATATTGCTACTTTCTTAGCTTTTCTTGAACTTCACGTCTCAGAAGATTTGCGCTTGCTTCATCTTTATTGATAACTTCTAAACACGTCGCAGAAGAATACCTAAAAACTATGTTTGCGCTTGCTTCATCTTTTTCTTAATTGATAATACTTATAGACTTATTCAAACTTTTGTCATTATAAAACTTTTCTTCTTCAACAGCCATAACTTACCGCTATGTGGCGATGAACTCGCTGTATCTGTTGCAATCTTGTCCAAATCGTAAAACCCGATTTGGTCCAAAATTTGTTCCGCCAGTCCAGGTACGGCGTCTTGCACGGTTCGTCTTGGAACGACGCCAGGATCGGTGCATGCTGTCAGCAGAAAGAGGACCGCAGTGAGAATTAGAAGGGACGCATCTGGTTGTAAGATGTACTCCAATGAGCGCTGAAACCCTGTAGCAGTATCGATAGAAGGTAAATGTGTTTAGATCCCATTCACGCAGATAGGAGGTGCAAATTTTCACGACTAGGTAGTAACTAGCAACAATCGGACTTGCTTCGGAAGAAGTCAAACTACTACGGAAGACAGTGCTGTAAGAAATGGATACATCGTTGCGTGAGGTCCAACTCTAACGAAAATAGCAATGAACCTCCGCGACCATAAACACACCAACAGACAAAGAGTAGCCACTGCCAGAAATGCTAGGTCGCCTGAGTGCCACAGCTGCGGTGCGCACACCAGAAAGTAGAAGAGGGACGGCGCCGCAATCCATCCCCAGGCGCAAAGTTTTTATAGAGATACAGTTGATGCTTTTCACTGACCTCAGACACACACGATACTTCTACTTCGATACTTCTACTTCAAGCCGAGATACTTCTACTTCGATACTTCTACTTCAAGCGGAACAATATTTTGATGCCTTCATGTAGAGGTGCTGGAGGCGAATACCATTTTACTACAAGTTGCAAGATGTCTGAGGACGTGAAAAAAACATCAACTTCTAGTCTCATACTGTGTAAGCTTGGTCTTGCCTCGGACCCGTGAAACAGCGGCCACCGCACACGAAGCGACTGGAGGGACCCAACAGGTGCCACACTTCGAACAGCGGCACTGAATTTACTGTCGACATATTTGTAGTAAAAGTCAATTCTCAGTCAGACTAAGCGCTCTAGTTGTATTCAAGAAGACGTGAGTCTGTTTCGAATTCTCAGCTGCTTACAGAGACTGCAGCGGGATTCGGAAGGAATACACCTCTAACGCAAAGACAAGTTTCACAATGAAGGCGAATTGTGTTGTTGACAGATGCGTTGTCTTGATTCCCAAGCAACGAATGCCTCATGATGCACTCTTTGGCTTTCCACATGAAGATGAACGTTTTCTATTCGTTTAAGATGCTGCTGCGAAACTTTTACGTAGATAGACGCGAGCTTCAAATACGTCATAGGTAGTTAAGAACTATGTTGTAGGTCCAAATATGAAACAGGTATTCTTTTTGTTTGTCACTTTAAGCTGCAGCCGAGCTGCAGCCACGCTTCCCTTTAGTGCTGTATGAATGCTGCGTTTGATGGAGTGGAAACAACACTAAGCCTCTCCATTGCGATGATCGTGACTGGGCAGGTGCACGAAAATCATATGGATGTATTACCAAGACATGTTCAGTTTCAGTACTATCTTCGAGTTCATCTATCCTCGATGATCCTTGTTGCGTGGCAAGATGCCTTTCAATGTACAAGTTGTTGACGCTTTCCTGGCACAAACTACCTTATCATTTGGTACCATAATCAAGTACATGATAGTTGATGACAGGAGTGAGTCTGCATGCTAAGTAATATCTACTTGTACTCCCAACACGAATTATAAGCGCTAAATTACAAATTACACCGTTCTATTGTTTCACACCCACTATGATCTTCGTTAAGTAATCATCATGTGTCGAAAAAAAAAATTTTAATGTGGAGACATGTTGATTCCTTCACTGCTGACGTCTTGAAGTTTGACATCAACTCATCGGATTTCGTAGTATTCTCTGACGAGGTAAAGTTTGACATCAACTCATTGGATTTTGTAGTATTCTCGTCTGAGGTTCTGCTGGCGCATTAAACTCCTAGTTCGAAGTCAAAACTAGAAGAGGCGGGCTCCTTACTCACACCTCCTCAGACAGTCGCAATAAGCTTTGAAGCGGCGAGAACAGTGCTAGAAATGAGATATTTTTGTCTGTTTCGTCACAGCCTACTGCGTTAATTGTCGCCCGCTAGAGGTCCTACCATCGTTTTCGTTAGATTTTTGTCTTTCATGTAGAAATAAAGCCACATTCCTGCTTCCTTGACTTCGTGTAAATTGCTGGCGCCGCTTTTCCTCCTAAGTCGCTTCGGCACATAAGGAATTCTTGTAGACAAACTTGCTTCTACTTCCACACCAGACAACTTTCGGAATAATCATATTCACATCGATTTAGTATCAACGACGCCTAGTATATGACAAACTGTGGACCACCGCTAATCTGTTCTACATCTACAATGTTCTCATGGAAATAATTTAAACTGCGTCCATATTATCTTACCACGAACAGAGAATTCTTATACTAGACGGTAGGCACACATACACATGTGATCGGTTCTGATACTCCTATTTTCAACATCTAAAGGGTAGAAAGCAAAATTCTTGGATCGATGGTGTTATGACATGTATCTGCCTTTATCTAACTATAAATGGATAGTGATCAACATCTTCTCGAAATTCCTGTCCTCCACCTGCATGCGAGAACGCGTGATCGTTGAAAGCATGGTCGTTCGAAATTTCGCTGCGGCTATTAGAAAAGATAGTATTCGCAGGGTAATCGCGTCGCATCAATAAAAATCGAACTCAGCAACAACGATGCTGCAATGCCAAATGATCAAATCGAGAACAAGATTTTCCGCTTCACGCAATGGTTCATCACGACTTAACAGTAGCAACCATCAAATATTTCGTTCTCGTAACAAAGCTTTCACTCCTCATGGTGCTCACGTTCGACCCACTCCGGAAACCCACAGCCTTATCGAGTCGCATGCCTCTGTAGGTCGGCACTCGACCAAAAGAACCGACTTTAGAGCTCCCCGTACTACAAGAATTCATGTCCATTATCTTGATAGATAGTATCAGATAGAGCTCCCCGTACAAGAATCCATGTCCATTATCTTGATAAGACATATGTCATTAACTCACAGGAATCAGATACTGATCCTGAGAAGTCCCCTTGTTGCCCCTTCTCAAAAACCTTCTGCAGATAAATGCTTCTCAAAGTAAGCAAATGCTTCTCAAGATTTATGCTTCTCAAGATCAGTAATATGCTTCTCAAGGTAAGAAAATGCTTCTCAAGTAGATAAGCTTCTTCCCCTAGTATGTTGCCTGTCCAGGAACAGGGTGCCTCTTGAGGCTGCCTCACTGCATGAATATGCATGCAGATGGCTATCTTAAGATGAATATGAGGTCTAATCATGCATCAAATATTCCAGATTTTGGTATGCTTCTTAACAACTGCACCAAAATCAGGAAAGTCCAGACCCAAGTTTGGTCCCAGAAGAGCAGGCGAATTCACCCATGTTGACACCGAAGCTGGCTCACTGCTGGATCGAATAGAGGAGGCTTCGGGACTCTCCAGGCCTCATGCTTAGAGTGAACCCGACAACTAAGGATAAAGCTAATGATCAGGCACAATCAAGGGGCTTAGGGTTACGGCTCACGAAACGAGTACAACGCAAGGGAGATCAGGCACAATCAAGGGGCTTAGGGTTACGGCTCACAAAACGGGTACAACGATAGGAAGAACTTGTTTGTAGGTAAAAAATCACCTGAGCCATAATTGTCTGGCGAGTTTCCACAGGTAAAAGGCGAAAAGGCCGTGTTCCTCGATGTCTGCTCACCGGTCAAATACATCCCAGGAGAGGCATGGATTTAGAAGACGATTGGATCATAATGATGATCAAGCTTTTTTGTTTGTTTGTTTTGATGCGCTCCGGGCGACGCGTACGATCCCGCCGGATTTCTTTGTGCTCTGTGTGTGTAGTGCTATGGTCGTCATTGCGATCGACTATGGTTTGTCTGGTCGCCACAGTCCCCGCAGATGTTTGTTTGTTTTGTTTTTCTCAAGGTCTCCTTTTCTTCTTGTTTTTCTAGAACACAGCTCCCAGTTAGTCACGTGCATAGACGCTGTTCTTAGCGCCTAAGTTACTGCTTCCTCGTTGCGGATGTACCTATATCACTTATCCTCAGTTCCACCTACCCCTAACTCCAAATCATCTCATCTGATTACCCAAAATCACTCAACAGTTCAACCAAAAATCAAAACTTCACTCAAACTCTTCTTAAGTAGTCATGTGTAAGTCTACCAACCACCGACTGTATGACTTCTCTCAAACTCATCTTCATAAGCCGTGCTTCCCAACTGCAAACTTTGGATCTCGAATTTCGAAGTTGGAGTCTTCATCCCATAAAACGGATCTTGGAATTCCGATGAAGGTAATCCTCGTATAGGAGTACACGCTGTAGAATCTGTGGAGGAAGTTCAAATTTTGTGTAGCCTATACAAATTACAGGAATACTAGTATCTAGAACATCGATTGATTCCGATTTCTGGATGATTGAATACATGAGTGGTCACGACAAAGATCTCCCTAAAAAAACTACTTATACAAGAAAATTCAAAAATAGACTACCATATCCAACTCTTTGTCCGCCTAAGACAGTATTGTATATGTCCTCGAATAAAGAGGAGGCATCATCGTCGCAATCACGTCGCGGCGAACTCGCTTTGTTTTGTTCCTGTCATGTTGATATGAGAAGAAGCTGTTAAGAGGCCCTGAGGCTGTTAAGGGGCCCTGAGGCACTTAAGGAGCTCTGAGGCACTTAAGGAACGAGGCAGATAAAGGACATTGAGGCACTTAAGGAGCTCTGAGGCAGATAAGGGACATTGAGGCACTCAAGGGACTCTGAGGCTGTTAAGGGGCACTGAGGCTGTTAAGGGGCCCTGAGGCACTTAAGGGGTAACGAGGCACTTAAGGACCTCTGAGGCACTTAAGGAGCTCTGAGGCGGATAAAGGGCGAGGCAGGTAAAGGACATTGAGGCACTTAAGGGACTCTGAGGCACTTAAGGGACGGACGAAGCCGAGGCACCTAAGGGACCATGAGGCACGCAAGGTATGAAGATACCGCGATTTTAATCCGAGGGAAAATCTTTCTAAAAGAAGAAGTACCAGTGACCGGCGTGCATCCAAAGCCAACACTTGAGCCACTGCGCTTGCCTGATTCGCAGACTGCAATCTTTGCGTATTTGTACGACCGGTTCGATGGTGTCCGTTGGTGGGTTATGAAAGTGCAATCGACTTCTGCTAAAAAACTGGATCAACATAAGTATATTGATTATAAGCTCCTCATTTTGCTTGTGTTTCATAATTCATTCAACAAGGTAGGGCTGATGTACTTTTTTTTGGGGGGGGCTGGGTCTACAATTTCCCGCTATAGTTCCATTCAATTACCCCGCGGGAAGCCTGAAGCACAACGGCCAGGCGCTACGACTACGCAAACGATGAAGCACAACGGCCACCGCTGTGAAAAAGCTAGAGCCAAAGCCCCACGGGCATACTATTTCATGTTCATCCTATCGAACTCTCTCTATTTCGTGTTCATCCTGTAGTAGTCTTTCATAAATGTTGGTCTTTGCCGTTAGCCTGTTGATTCCCAGCACGTTTGTTCTGTGGTTGGTGACTGGGTCTATGCTTTCTTTGGTGTGGTGCAAATTAGAGCAGGGAGCATTCTCTAGTTCTGTCCCTGAAAACTGAACCCCTCCATGAATCTGCGACTTCTATGGACAAATGAGAAGACAACAAAACAGAGAAAAGGACCATCAGTAATCGTAATCCGTAAGAAGTCGAATGTTGCTGCTGGTGGAGCAACATGTTGTTATAATTCTGCTCGTCTTCTGCTTTTAACATCGTAGTCGATGCATTGTTATTCGTGATATTGTTGTACGCGGTCCCGAAGTTCAACTGATGATGGTCCACCGCTATAGTTAGAAAGAAGTCTTCTACAAGATGTAGTATCTCGAAAAAAAACTATGTCGAGATGCTTATGCAGAAGAACAGCATCCACCGTTACATTGATCAAATGTTCAATCAAGGCATAAGGAGAAGTAGCTACCCTAAACCTTAAAGCCACGTGTGCCGCAGTGAGAACCGGCGAAGCACCAGTTGTGTTGCCACATTCTTCGTCCAGAGTTGTTAGTAGTGGCCACAAAGAAACCGGCTTCTGCATATTGCACATGCGACAAAATCGATTCTTCCCAAATTGGTAGTCGCCACAGTAGGGGCAGTACCTATGATTGATGTGCTTTCTCAATGATTGAGTAGGGGCAATACCTATGATTTAGTAGGGGCAATACCTACGATTGATGCAATAAGAAGAATACCTGTGATTGGCATTGGTGCAAGTTATGGACATATTTTTTTGGTAACGAAGTTATACCTTTTTATATCTCAGATTACGCAGAAGTAACTCATACCAATCCCCCGGTCGGGTCATTCCGGGACGTAGTCCTTGCTTCTGCCACTTCTTCATCTCGCCTATTCTCGCGCCTGACCTGCACGGCTCTACCGATACATATTAGAGAGGTCTATATAATTTCAGTCCAATATGGGATTGAGAACGCTTCATATATATAATGGCTGTCTGTGGTCCCTGAAAGAAGCTTAACACTTTCCAAGTAGAAGAAGAAAAATCAATTATAGTCTACAGCCTTGCCAGTTGAAGGATTTCACACGAGAGGGCCTGGTCAGTCTTAAAACAGAACTCCACAAGGCAAGCACACGAGTCTCCACTTGTGGAGTAGGTCCGCTCAGGGTAGGCTCCACAGTGGCAAGCACTCCATATGATCCATCGAGCCTCCACTGATTGAAGTAAGATACGAGAGGGGCAGAAAGAGCTTTATCGAGATATTGAGAATGTAGAAGTTGGATTTTTTGAATCAGAAAATTAATAAGATTGTCGTCGTGGATGAGGTACATTTTTTAGTTGTAAATGTGAGTAGCCAACAAAAAAGTTGTTGTGAAGAACAATATGTACGTACTTACGTCATAAGAACAGCTTCCTTCCACTCACAGCTCTTGTCGCGCTCTTCTCTGGTTCGCGCCTTGTCGTGACAGTATCAACCTCATTCTCACTCCCTTCTCATTACGGCTACTCCATCGCAATGCTATAATCACTCATAAAACTGCTTTACGGGCACGTCTCTCTCTTTTTGGTGTCCTCCAATGACCGATAATAGCATACTTAGCAAGAGAAAAAGTCCCAACACGAACAAGAACTAGAGGTTCTCCCAGCTAGCAACGGATCAGCAGGTTGTCGTCATTCTTTGATGAAGCTTGCTTTGGCTCTTCTAGCAAGATCGTGCCACAACAAGGTTATTAACCAGATGAAATCTATTGTCGGGGCGTCTCTAGATATGGGTGACCGCAATAATGTCTTTATCAGATGAGTGATCCGTTGTCAGACCTTCTAGTTTACATAAGGCTGATAGTCTGGTCATTCGGATGTTCGCAACCTGAATCTTTTCTACATATAGAGGGGTTGTAAGGTCAAGGGGGGCAGCGACGAGGCAAAGCCCCGAAGGGTAGCACCATGACAGGCTCTGCTCTATGTGTTGCCACCAATGTACAACAGGGAAAGTTTGTTCGGGATGTCAACATCATAATGTTTTCGCTAATCATAATAAACTTAATTTCACACAACTAAGCATGAGTCCAAAGTCTAGTTCTTTGCCTCTAGTGGGAAGGGGATGCTCAAACCTCTGCGCCTGTTCTCAACATAAAACCTGTCCGCTTCTTCTACGAAGGCGGTTGTCCTGTGTGATCTTTTTTCCTTCCATTTGGTACGAGTCCTTTTGGGCAGCAGCGTTACTACTACTTCCGGTTCAACAGTACGATGGTCATCGATTGAACCATCAATCTCTTCTTCTCGTGGTTCAACAGTACGATGGTCATCGATAGAACCACTTCCTACAGCTCTTCTTCTCGATAAAGGCTCTAGACTATGAAGCCTACATCTCTTCTTCTCGAATAAGGCTCTAGACTATGAAGCCTTCTTAGATGAAGATGAACACGACCGCAGTGACGAACTGCCTAAATGCTCCTCGAATTTCCTCGCACGCCAGGTAGGATTCGAACACTGCACCGAGAAGGAAAGCTAGCCACAAATTCAAAAGTGCTCCATTCGCTGCGTTCAGATTGAAGACGAAGAGAAGCAAGACACACTGCAATACGGCTGCAGCCCCAAGGACCATTCGCGTCAAAACTCGCATCAGCCTCTTACGCCTTCGCACGTTCTTGCCGTGCATACCTTTGGCCCCACTCACTGCTCGGCTAAACCACTGCACCGCGTTCAAGCCAGGAAGGATGACCAAAAACATCTTCGCAAAATACGAAAGGTAGAGAGCGGGAGATTAGAGTGATTAACGATAGCACTAGAAACAACAGACGAACTGATCTTTTTCTTGACGAAGATGCTGTTGACAAACTCAAGTCTTTATAGAAAGAACAAATTTGATAAAAGAATAGAAAGATTATAGTTTTTACATGCAAGAAGTTTCAGCAAAATCATAAAGTGACTCATCTCCAGCTGCTGCATGGCGAAAAAAGCCTCCTGCGCAATCGCCTATATCGGGTCTGGCATTCGTCAAGACTTCATCCACTGACTGCATTTTGACGCCTAGGTCAGCTTGCAACTGTTCATAGTAGGCTATGACGTTCTCCTGAAAGGGGATTTGCGAAAAAAAGTCGAACGTCGTCAACAACCGCATACCCATTCCACTTGCGAAACTGTTGCAAAATTGAGGCTCATTTCCGTTGCGGGAGAGGGAGGCGACCTTTGTGTTTTTAGGTTTGAATTGAAGTAAGGGTGGGCATTCATTATTTGGGTAGAGGAGTGACTCAATTGAAGTTGGCCGTGGAGGGGTGAATCAATGGTAGAAGCAAAATTGTCATGGGTATGACTTACAGTAAGAGTGAGAAGTCTGTGAGTCTGTGAGTCGGTCTCATAGAAAAATAAGTTGTTAGTACGAATGCTCCGAACATGATCATGTTGCAGATTGAGACCATGTCCTTCAATCCCCAAGTCCACTGCAATAATAGCACAGCATTTTCCTTATCCGCGTGCGCCTCTACTTGACCCACGTCCAATCCCAGCAGCGTGTGGAGAAATCCAAAGGCGAAGCACAGTAGGTGGTGAGTCTCGTAGTTCATTTGCGGTACGAAGGAACGGAGGAATTGCGACACGAAGATACTGGACAGGAGGCCGGACCACACTTGCCCGGTGCAGACGAGGAAGATTCGAAGAGAAAGAATGCTAATTGGGGTGCCTAATAATCTTGACTGTCAGAGGTCCGATCCCCAGCCTTCAAATAATGTTGTTCTTTTCTTCACCAATCTTTCCACTCAAATGTTTCAATAATAAGCTAGTCAAGAGTGCCTTCAAATAACTGTCATCCTGCATGCGCGGAACTACCTGAGGTTAGGTTAGGTTATGGATCCTTCACAACGAGCCCCAGCCCCACAGGCACCCGTTGCTCGCTACTTAATCTTAAAGCGACCACTACTACAATTTGTTGTATTGCCGTAACATCAGCAAAGGGATAATCGGTTTTGTTAGCGGCAACAGGAGGTCAAATTGGGTCGCGGCTGCTACCTGCATTCTAGCTTTGTTAGGGGTGTCGCTCCGCAGTCGCAAAATCTCCAACACTCCAAGGTGAGCACGGCTGACCATAGCATCTTCCGTACTAGGTTGTCCGGGTAATGTCGTAGTTGTTGCTCCACCTCTTGGTGCTCCTGCTGCTGTGGGAGGGGGGACGACAGTTGTTAATGTGCTGCCTGTCGTGGTGGAGAAATAAAGATGTGGAAGTAAGTAGACTGAGCAGCGGTCATAACATAAAGACAGTTGTAAACGACCTGCGCTTTGTCATCGTCTCATATATCACTGTAAAGAACTAAACTCTACTTCTCGATAGACCTGTATATCATATCCGTCTCGAAATCAGCAAGATAACTAAACTCTACCTCTCAATAGTACCTGGATTTTGTCCCTCCACAACTGCTCGCTGATGTTGTGGAACCATCTCTATGGCTGGGGGTAGTTGCTTGTCGCCATCTTCCTCTTCATCTGCTGGTCCTTGTGAATTAGAGCAGAGTACTGTTCATACTATAAGTCTAGACAGTAGATGTTGTTTCAAGAGTCCTACTAGTACTTCACTACTACTTTACATTTACTGCTGTGTCCTCTGGGTGCTAGTACTTAATACTAAGTATCTATAGACAGTAGAAGATAGTTGTTCAAGATGTTGTTGTAGATGTTGAGAGGTCAGTCTACTTCATCCACTAAGATTTGTTCTCGTTCTTGTTGTTGGGATTCAGTTTTACTTATGGCAGTTGGAATTCTTATTTTCTGCAGAGCAAGAGCAGACTGTTGAACAATATCGTTATCATGCCTTAACTAGTAATTTTTCCGCCACTTCTGCATCTTTCTCTTTCTTCTTTTTGTCCACGCGACGCTTCCTCAAGTGCGTCTCCGTTTTGTCTGTGGCTGCTGCGACATGCCGACTACTAGCCTTTACTGGTGCTGCCTCATCTTTTTTATCCTGATCCGCTTCGCGTGGTGATAACAAAGCGTGCTCTTCAGAGGTGCCACCTCGTAGTTCTTCCCAAAACACCATGACCCGTAGGAACGGCAAGGAGAAGAACCGAATAAGGGTCGGTAATGGTCGAGAGATAATAGCGCCAACGACGTAAAGGGGAAGACCGAAACCTGGGGGCGATGTTTTTACCCATCGTGCACGGAAACCTCTTCTATTTTACATCCACGTGCAAGAAGACACACTTACCCTTCATCTAAACCATTGAGGAAATGTCCATTAAAGAAATGCCGTTTGCTACTACAACATCTATAAATGTACAGGAGTTCTTGTTAGATGTAATGAGGACTAGAAGTACCAGCAGACAGCGACCACCGATAGAGCTCTTTGATCATGCGGTACAGGAAAATAAACCAAAAACTGATAGCCACAGTCGTAAGGAACCCTTGCTGAAACGTTATTAGCTGTGGTGTTGTTGTGTGAAAAAGAGTTGTATGCAACGAGCAGTGATAATAACGAATCTTCTAATCGGTAAGGCTGGAATACGATCATGCTCCTCAAACAAGTCAAACTGTAATATTAGTGGTAGAGCCAACCTAACTAGGAGAGGTATCAAAAATACTATTTTTATATATTAACATATATTGAGTATGCTAGTATTGCTTCTTGTTTGTTTGTTTGTTTCGATGCGCTCCGGGCGACGCGTACGATCCGGCGGAATTTCTTTGTGCTCTGTGTGTGTTATGCTAGTACTGACTCCTATACCTGATACATGAACTCGTAAAGCGCCGCTCCGATTTCAGACACAGCCTCTATGGAAGCTAGTTCCTGAAAAAATTGTCGCCAGTTCAGTCCTGCATCCAAGTCGCTGCATTTTGCTTCGATAGGTGCTTCTTCCTTGACTTAGAGTTGGGACCATGTGCTCAGAAAAAAACTGTACGAACTTAATACAACTAAAACTTTCTTAGACCTCCACTATTGACAGATCATGATCACACGAGTTTTATTTCCTTGTGATAAAAAAGAATTCTTCTTGTGGTCTTTGAGGCCATAATCTTCGTCTGCTTCCAGAGGTGGCAACCCCTGTTTTCTTCGTCTTTTGTTCCGCCTCTCTTTCCTTATTTCCCGTCTACGTTGCTTCAAGTCCAAGAACTTGACTAACTCGTCTCTTGCCTGTGTGTGTCGGTTAAACAGCGTCTGTCCGGCTACTTCTTCTGCAGCTGTCGGCGCCCGCCGAAGTTTCGCTCTTAGCCTGTCTGGATGTGTACAGAGAGAAACATTTCGAAACGCTTTTTTGATACTGCCGGAAGTTACGGGATCGCTTATCCCTAAAACGGCACAAGGGCTTTCGTGGAACCTGATCAGATTTAATATTGCATGCTCCACTCTTTCGGTTCTGCGACTGTAAATCATGACATTGGAAAGATTGCCGATAATAAATCAATGCATTTTTAACAAGTCTCATTTCTCCCCAAGGCAATCCCCAGGCGGAGAGCACTTGCTCTATCACCTGTTGGTGAGAGACAAATATCGATGATTAAATAGATTCACATAGAAATACCTCCATCTAAGATCCGTAAAGAAACTATGTGAATACCTCCATCTGAGATCCGTAAAGAAAGCCACTATAAGAATCATCATCAGCCACCATGGTATTGGCTGAAAAGGGAGAAAGCGTTCCCGAAAACTAAGGACAGGCTTCGGCGGCGACGGTTTCAGGAGTGCTGCACCTTCTGAATCTGGGCCTCCATCCCCATTCGCTTGTCCAACCTGTTGTTGTTGAGCATTAGCAGCATTCTGTCCGCCTGCCTTTTGTTGGCCATTAGCAGTCGCCCTGCCACCGGAGGGTTTACCGCTCTCTTCCGCGAAGCCAGCGGAAAAGACAGCACCCGAAGAAGAGTTCATGCTCACTGTATCGTCCATCAAGGCACTACTAGGATAAGAACGAAGAGCACATTATTTTTCTTTGCATGTACGTAGAAGTAACTTGATTCATTCAACACGAGATCTCAACCAGGACTTCTGAAGATCTTCATCCACTATCAACGTGGGAACTGCGGAACACCTCCTCCACCGAATATAATCATTGCTTTTTGTCCAAAACTAACATATTACGGGTGGAGCCAAGCTAACTAGGAAGAAAAAGGAAGGATAGTAGGTAAAGAGTATAATATAAGTACAGAATTATAGTAATGGCCAAGCTAAGTAGGATCCAAAACTAACATATTCAAAAAATCAAGATGCTAGACTAAACATTTGTGCAAAATGTCGCTGCGAACTCAAAAGAAAGACGTTACGAATTCTTCACGACATTGAGGCACTTAAATGATCTTTGTTTTTTCTGATCATGACCTACTCTGACCTACAGCACTGTATCAAGTCCATCTATGCAGCTGTTGCCGCTGCGCGATCATGATTGGATCTTGTACCAAATTTCGCAGACTCTGAGAGATTGATACTCATTCCAGCGCATCACGACGTCAACTTTCTTTTATATGGTGGAACATTCCATCGGAGACGGGTTTTGGAAACGAACCTTTTGATAGGATTTATTCGTCTTTTAGCAACCGCTTGTGCAGGATGAAGAAAAGACTTGATTGATCATTCTTTCAATTCGGACTCACTCTGTCGTGAAATTCTTGGAAGTGGTGGTCCTCTGTTTTTTGCTATCGCAGTTTCCTAAGACGCGTCGCCGCCAAGTAGCGCTTCGACGAGGCCCACGGCCCATAACTACTTCACTTTCTTTTCCCACTACTTACTTTGCCGTGGTCGCTGCACTCTGCCATCATCTATAACAGGTGCGCGTTCGCCGTGCGAGGATAATCGTCCGCCATCATCTAAAAGTCTACGACTAGAAGGCTCGAAGTGACCTTTTTCGTTAGATGTTTTGTTCAGGAATTTTGTTCCAACCAGTGCAAGAGTTCATAAAAAGAATTCCTTCTGCTCGCGTCCTTTTGTCATCAGATTTCTTGAAACTGCTGAAGACACCCGACACGCCGTTTTTCGAATTCCGCTTTTAAACATGGCACCAGAATCCCGTCCAACAACTTCGTCTAAAATCGTCACTCTTCCCTTCAGCGATTCAGCATGTGATCTTCCAACACCAGGGGACATTAGAGTCAACGACTCATCTACATCTTGTACAGTCGTGAGAAAAGACGAGGCACGATTTTTTCCTCCACTTTTTTCACCCAAATTTGACACCTCTGCCGCAACGTCGACGTCGCAAACAGCACGCAGAGCGTGCCTTCCCCAAAAACCCGCTGCCGATAACGAAACCAGTGCTGCGCCAGTCGAACACCTGTGTGGGTGGACACGAGTGAGCGGCCCGATCAACAGAGGAGGACTCCCCAGAATGATAATTGTTAGAACAAAAGTAAATACCACCACATAAGGCCCTCCACATAAAGAACAAAAGAGTCAATACGCTATCCCATAAGCTTTCTTTTTCGGTGCCTCGAACTCCGCAAGCCGCTGCGCGACTCGAGCAGCGGAGTAGGCACAAAAAGCTGCTATCCCTGCATGCACTCCCACGCAGTTGACCTGGTGATACGGGAAAAACTCCCATAAAGGTCTCGCGATCATCTTTTGGTGGTCTAAATGAGGTCTACCAATGATCTACTTTTCTGTCGAAGTTATTTATTTCATGCTGATGTCAGGACTTCAACTTGCATGGTGAGACAAGTAGGCTCCGGGGAATTGCGTCATGGGTTTCTGGATGGTCTTTCCTGTGCTTCTACTAGCAGACTAAGCTTATAGCCTTTTATAATCAAAATACCGAACCACCGGCAAGACGAAGCATCTCCCGCGACGGCAGCAGAATTCTCATACATACCGTAACAACTTGTCTCGATCGATGTCGACGACATTTTACGACACATGAGCCGAGTTTTTCTGTACAAGTCCACATATTGGCGTGTCGTTCGAAACCGGGTCGGGGATGAGTCGAGAAGTTTTGACTTCAGCGACACCAACTAATACCACGGTAGAAGAAGCGGACCACCCTCTCAGCTTCAACATCCGAGAAGTTTACCCATAGAACCCCAAAGAGACTCAGCGACGCCGTAGGTCCAATCCGAACCGACTAGCACCGTCAAATGATGAGCACTAGTGCCGACGCGAACAGTTACAAAATCTAGATGCTCTCTACTACCGAGTGGCACCTCTTCGAGCGCATATGGGGAAGGGGACTCTGCTCTCTCGCTTCTCTCAGGCACTGGTAGCGAAATAGTCAGGATTTTTGGCGTTGCTGGTGAACCTTGCGCGTGAATTCTTCTTCGGTGTTGTTTATCAGCAAAAACAAGCTAAGCAAACCGAAGGCAGCGCGCTTGATGGAGGAAGGCCGTAGGCCGTTTCTGCCATTAGCTCGCACGAAAAGCCGGGCGTTCTCGCTTCTATCAGGCACTGGTAGCGAAAAAGTCAGGACTTTTCGCATCGCTTGCGTGCCTTGCTTGCGAGTTTGTCTTTGGCGCCGTTTATCGGCAAAAGCAAGCTAAGCAAATCGAAGGCAGCGCTCTTGATGGAGAAAGGCCGAGAACATTTTTACCATTAGTCTGCCTCAGCAAAAAACCCCCTCGCTTCTATCAGGCAGCTTGACGACGCGCGCCTGTTATCAACTTATCGCGGGCCGGCTACTCGGTACTGAGCAGCTTTGCGGCGCGCGTCTGCTATCGACTTGTCGGCTTATCGCGGACCGGCTACTAGGCAACTTTGCGGCGCGCGTCTGCTACCGGCTTAGCGACTTATCGCGGGGCGGCTACTAGGTATTGGGCAGCTTTGCGATGCGCGTCTGTTATCAGCTTAGCGACTCATCGCGGGCCGGCTGCTCGGCAACTCTGCGGCGCGCGTCTGTCATCGGCTTGTCGACTTATCGCGGGCCGGCTGCTAGGTCTCGGCAACCTTGCCAAGACTGCTCGCGATTTGATGGCGGAGGCGAAGCCCTACGCATCAGCTTCGCAACCCGGAAACAGACGGCCGCTCGGTAGCGCGCAGTCAGGGCTTCGAAACGCGGCGACTTTTTAAACGGATCACCTTCCCACTCGAAGAAAGTCGCACTTTTCGAGTAGTTGCCAAGACGCGCCCGCGATCTAATGGCGGAAGCGAGGTTTTGCGCATCAGCTTCGCAACCCGGAAACAGAAGGCCGCTCGATCGCGCGCAGTCAGGGCTTCGCAAGAAGGCGACTTTTTTAGGGCATGACCTTCCCCACTTGAAGAAAGTCGGACTCTTCAGGCGGTTGCCAAGATGCGCTCGCGATCTAATGGCGGGCGCGAGGTTTTGCGCATAAGCTTCGCAATCCGGAAACAAACGGCAGCGCGATAGCGCGCAGTCAGAGCTTCGAAAAAAGGCGACCTTTTAAAAGCAGCACCCTCCCCACTCGAAGAAAGTCGCACTTTTCAGGTAGTTCCCAAGACGCGCCCGCGATCTAATGGCGGAAGCGAGGTCTTACGCATCAGCTTCGCAACCCGGAAACAAACGGCAGCGCGATAGCGCGCAGTCAGAGCTTCGAAAAAAGGCGACCTTTTAAAAGCAGCACCCTCCCCACTCGAAGAAAGTCGCACTTTTCAGGTAGTTCCCAAGACGCGCCCGCGATCTAATGGCGGAAGCGAGGTCTTACGCATAAGCTTCGCAACCCGGAAACAAACGGCAGCGCGATAGCGCGCAGTCAGAGCTTCGAAAAAAGGCGACCTTTTAAAAGCAGCACCCTCCCCACTCGAAGAAAGTCGCACTTTTCAGGTAGTTCCCAAGACGCGCCCGCGATCTAATGGCGGAAGCGAGGTCTTACGCATCAGCTTCGCAACCCGGAAACAAACGGCCGCGCGATAGCGCGCAGTCAGGGCGCCGAAAAGAGAGAACTTTTTAAGGGCAACACCTTCCCCAGTCGACGGGAGTCGCACTCTTCAGGCAGTTGGCTCGCGCCCGCGATCTAATGGCGGAGGCGAGGCGCTACGCATCAGCTTCGCAACCCGAAACAGACGGCCGCTCGATAACGCGCAGGCAGGGCTTCGAAAAGTGGCGACTTTTTGAAGGCATTCCCTTCCCCACTCGAAGACGGTCGCACTTTTCAGGTAGTTTCCTTCCCAGACGCGCTCGCGATCTAATGGCGGGAGCGGGGTTTTCTGCATCGGTTTCGCGACCCGGGAACAGGCGGCCGCTCGATAGCGCGCAGCCAGGGCTTCGAAGAATGCGACTCCTTACGGGGGGGACTACCTTCAACACTTGAAGAGAGTCGCGGCGCCTTTTCAGGCAGTTGCCAAGGCTGCCCGCGATCTAATAGGGGCAGCGAGGCCCTACGCGTCAGCTTCGCACGACAGAAAAACGCGCCGCGAAGTCTAGCGCGTGGCCCGCGCTCGCCTCGGCTAGGTTCTCAGTAGGAACCGGAACCGGCGGAAGCTGGCGGAGATTCCACGCGAATCGCGAGCGAGATCCAACGGGTCGGCGCCTCCTCTGCATTAGCTGCCCGCGGGGCGGTATAGAGGGCGAGCGTGGCCCTAAGGGGTCCGCCATGTGCCTTGCCTCTCGGTTCGTGTTGTGCTCGCTCTGCAAGAGAGACACAACCGACAGCAAGCTCCTCCACTTCCTTTGCTTCTTGCTTCTTCTCGCTGGGGCATAACCTTCTTCGCGCGGTCCAGGTTATGGCTATTCTGTAGCGTCTCTGGGCGGCGCCATATGGCTTAGCGCATACGTTTGTGGGCTCAGGTCTCTAGTTTCACCTATAGAACGTCGGCGCGGTGTCCATTGTCTGGCTTGGATTTTAATAATTTTTCACAAAAAAGTCCTAAGATGCCTCGTCTCCTCTCTTCTAGGAGTGGAGAGCTTGGCGAAGATCTCCAATCACCAGCCGACCCACTTAGCTTTTTCATTCCCACTGTCTGCCTGTGGCATGGGATGGCGCAGATATTCGAAAATTTGGCGTGTCTTATTTACGAGCTTTTTGGGAAAAAACTAAAGAACAGACAAGAATCAGACCAGGCAACGCGAGACGTGATAATGCACCGGGCACTGCCTCTATTTTCTTAAGCTTATTTTTTTCATGGAGTTTTTGTAAGTTTTTTTCTTTCCCCATTTTTGCTCATAAATAAAAAAACTCGCGAAGTTACACGCCAAGAAACACCCGCGAAAACTAACGCAGGGAAGGCGTCAGCCACTTGGACCTCGCTCGCCATTTGCGTGGGATCCCAATGGGGCCCCGCGGGTTCCGCTTGCCCTCCCCGCGAAACTCTTAAGCGAAACCGTTAAGGGGCAGTGGCACCTCTGGGCCGTTTTCGATGTTTTTCCGCTTTTCTTCACAGTTTGGCACGCCAGTCCCTAGATCGCGAGGCCAGTCCGTCTCTCTCCTCTTCCCATTTCCTTATCGGTTTCGCCTCTGTCTTTCCGGGCTCTGTTCAGATGCTTCCGCCATTCTCTTATCGGTTTCGCCGCTCGCTCGGCGTGCCCGACTCCTCTGCAATCCCTCCAGCTACCGATACGAACCGAATGAGACGACGGGCGACAACGTGAGACACTGGCTCGCCCTCCTCTTTAAGAGTCCGGAGCATCATCACAGGCAAAGGCTAGCCCTGTGCCCCTGTAGCTCTCAGAAGTGCGCCCGGTATAGGTAGCACACGCAGACGAAGAATGCCAAGGGGGTAACTTCAACCGCGAACGCCTTTCGGTAAGACCGCAGAAGCCCGGCAAGACGCGTCTGGCGCATCGGCCGCCAGCGGGGCGATAGGGCATGCCTTAGGCCTTCAGTTACACGGGCGACAGTTTGTCTGACGAATCCCCCCGCCTCCCGTTGTACCCGGCGCCCCCCGCCCCCCTTGTACAAGGTTACACGGTTGGGCACAGTCCGGGGGCGCACCCTTCGGCACAAACTCGCTATAGGGATTTACAGTCGCGCAAACATTTAACCTCGTACAAGGGGGACGGGGGGGCGAGATGGTCACGCGTTGCCCCCTCGTCCCTGGCAGCCTACGGCCGCCAGAGCGACGACGCGCCGCGCTGCGCTGGTGGGCGCGTGGTGTGCGCCGCATAATCCAGCGCGAACAGCCCGGCAAGGCAACCTGCTTCACCCTCGTCCCTGGCGGCTTACGGCCGCCAGAGAGACGGCGCGCCACGGTACAGAGATTAGGCACGCAGCAAGAGCACACGAGGAGAGCACACGGGAAGACGTAGAAGACAGGAGCAGCCAAGCCAGAAGAACACAGACTAACCAAACTGGAACAAAAACGAGCCAAGCCAGCGGAACACAAGACGGCGACGACCACCCTCACGCACCTCGCGAAATGAAGGAAGTGGAAGCAGATGGATTATGGAGGTGCGCCCGGCTTTATCGAAAAGCCGCCACGTGGAGACCGGCGAGACCTCCCGCCTGTCGCCAGTCTTTTGGAAGAATATGGCAAAACGAAACCAATAAGGAGACCCGGGAAACCCTTGCGGGGATTTTTGTCGGAGACGCTGTGGCGGTCTTTCTCTTTTTTGTTTTGTTAATTCTGAAGCCCTGTTGTGGACCCAGGGCTTCGTACATGAAGGCAGGTTACTCTTCGTTCGGAAATGCGAGAAGGGAGAGCTCAGTTCGGAGAGCATAGGCGAAAGGTATCAATGACGGGAGTGAGAATCTCATTGAGAGGAGGTCATGGACTGACAAAACAACAATGTTGTGAACGTTCCTTGTGCGGTGAGGTATGAGAGAACGCAAGCATGCTGTAACAGTGGAAGCGAGAGATGACGAATAACGGAAACGATCTCCTAGAGGAAATAGGAGACACAAACGGGAAAGGAAATCAACGTACGATAAAGGGTGATATTGAAAGCAAGTTCATCTTAATCCTAAGAACGGAACCTGGGAGGAATCGCCCATCATACTCAATTCATCCCACATTTAGTTTGATGGTATGATATTCCAGCACGAGAAGACACTGGTATTAGTACTTCCTGTATCAATCGTGAATTGACATTCTTGTCTTCCGTTATCGTTATTACCGTTTGCTTGTCTGAAACTGCTGACTTGCATTTGAACGCTATTCCTCCGTATCTTGGG